AACTCGCACCGCGAAACAAGGCTACTTTGTCTATCGAGAAACTCAATGAAGATCTCGAGACGTGTAAGAAGTTCCGTGTCAAGCCGCAAGACCCGCCTGGTCTCGGCCGAGATAAGAATGCTCGTTATATCGACGGCGGCAAGCCCACTTTGATCAAGAACGCTACTATCTGGATTGGAGAGCCCACCGAGGGAACCAGCCAAGAGGATGCGTATGCCGGCAGGGGCTGGGAGTGGGTGCAGGGAGATGTCTTTCTCGAGAAGGGTCTCATTCAACGCGTTGAGAAGGACATTAAGACTGCTTCGCTACCTGATGACACAATTATCTACGAAGCTCATGGACGCCGCCTGACCAGCGGTATTGTTGACACTCACAGCCACGCTGGCGTCTATCCATTGCCCTCTCTGGAAGGTAACTCAGATGGCAATGAGATGTCAGATAATATCACACCTTGGGCTCGAGCTATCGACTCATTGCTTCCGCTTGATCCTCAAATCGAGGTCATCAAGTCAGGAGGTGTTACAACTTCACTTATCCTTCCTGGTTCCGGCAACAACATCGGCGGAGAGGCCTATGTCATCAAGCACGCAGTTGGCAAACCCGATGGCCGCAAAGAAATCAGTGCCGTGGACTTGCTTGCCGACCCAGACCGTAACTGGCGATACATGAAGATGGCATGTGGTGAAAACGCGAAGCGTGTCCATGGCCGGGTTGGAAACAGGCCGTTCAGCCGTATGGGTGAAAGCTATGAGTTCCGCCACGCCTTTGAGCAAGCAAGAGATTTGATCCAGAAGCAGGATGACTGGTGTGCCAAGGCTGAGTCTCAGGGTGTTGAGTCTTTGGATGAGTATCTTCCTGGAGAGATTGCTTGGGAGGCTCTCACTGCTGCGCTTCGTGGTCAGGTTCATATCAACACACATTGTTACACGATCCCCGACTTGGAGGCTATGGTGGACCACACCAACGAGTTCAAGTTCCCTGTCCGAGCCTTCCATCATGCTCACCAGACCTATCTGGTTCCAGAGGTAAGACCCTGCTGTATTGAAAGGCTTCTTTTACTAATATCTATTAGATCCTCAAGCGAACCTGGGGCGGACGTCCTCCTGCATCTGCTCTTTTCGCCGATAACATGTTCTACAAGACTGAAGCATACATTGGCTCAGAGTATGCTGGAAAGATCCTTCATGAGAATAACCTCACGGTAGTATATGTCAGCGACAACCCTGTGATCAACGCCCAGCATGTCCTTTTTGAAGCAGCCAAGGCTTACCACTACGGGCTTCCTTACCACGTCGCACTGGCCAGTGTGACATCTGCTCCCGCTGAACTGCTCGGTTTGGGCAAGCGTCTAGGAAAGGTCAAGCCTGGTTTTGATGCCGACGTTGCTGTCTGGGATAGTGACCCTCTTAGCGTTGGCGCAACTCCTGTACAAGTCTGGATTGACGGCACAGCTCAGTTCGAGGACCCTATTGAGCTGATGAAGTCACAAGAAGCAGCTGCATTCGTGGAGAAGCCTGCCGAGATTGTTGAGGAGCCAAGCAGGCTCGATACTCTACTCTTCACTGGCGTCAAGAAGGTGTTACTTGAAGATGAGAAGACTTACGAATCTCAAGACAAGCCCGTCAATGTGGTCGTTCAAAACGGCAAGATTTCTTGCATTGGCACTTGCGACCAGGAGTTCCAAGCTGTGGCTGCAACTGGCGCAAAGACCATTGCACTCAAGAATGGTTATTTGACCCGATCTTTCACAGCTGTGGGTGGTACTCTGGGTCTTAGCGAGATTGATGCTGAGGACGCAACTAACAACGGACCCAACCCATTGATCTTCTCTAGGGCTATCGATGGCCTTGCTCTTGACTCCAAGAAGTTGCATGTTGCCTCTCGATATGGAGTTACCAGAGCCGTCTCAGCACCAGTCTTTGTAGGTGGCGCAACCCATTTCGGCACCAGTGTCGGATTCTTGACTTCAGCATTGACGACCCTCGAAGAAGGTGCAGTTTTTGCTCCCGACCTGGCAGTTCACTACACTCTGGACCTGAATGTCAGAGGTTCAACCAGCTACTCAGCCGCTTTTGGTGGATTGAGGAACAAGTTACTCACTGCTGCTACAACACCGGAACCCGCGGGCAATCCGTTCTCAGAAGCGGCCTACCTAAAGAAGGTGATCAGTGGCGAGCAAGTTCTTGCCCTCACCATCAACAGTGCAGATGGCATTGCAACAGCTCTTCGAATCAAGTCCGAGATCGAGGGTGTCCTCACAGCAGCAGACTCAAGCAAGAGAGTCGCGGGTCTCAAACTGGCCATCATTGGTGGTGCTGAGGCTCACCTGGTGGCCAAGGAGCTTGGAGAGGCTGGCGTTGGAGTCATCCTGTCTCCACTGCAGGCAAAGGGTGAAAGCTGGGACTCACGTCGCGCCTTGACCGGTGCACCACTCACCAATGGCACAACCGTTGATGCCTTGGTTGACGCAGGTGTGGTTGCTGCGATTGGGCTGCAAGAAGACTGGGAGCTTCGTGACTTGGGATTTGCAGCTGGCACTGCATTCAAGAATGGTGGTGGACGATTGAATGAGAAGGAGGCTATTGATCTTGTGAGTAGCAACATTTACAAGATTCTTGGGGTAGACGAAAACTCAGCCAAGGATTCTGGTCACTTTATGGTGACAGAAGGTAGCCCTCTTGAGATTGGATCGAGAATTAAGGCTGTGGGACATGGCAGGGGTGATGTATCTGTGTTTATCTAGGGGTAGCTTTTGATAGGGACGAGTCTTCAAGTAATCGAGGAATAGTTGGATGAGTGATATGGGCCTATCTTCAATCCACTATTTGTATAGCCCACATGAAACTTGATACTATGTACAAGACGGTGATAAAATTCCAAGCCTATCTAGACCAGGTTACGCAAAGACGTCATTCTTGTTTCTCTGACCTTACCTAAAATTTACTAAGATCTTCATAATGCTGCAATTTGAGAGTTGAGTGAAGCATATGCTCTTGATAAACCCTTTCTCATCTCCTTTGATATGAATGTTGTTGTAGATTTATAATATGAGTGGCAATCTGCAAATGAGGCCATCGCCAACAGAAATACAGTGGGAGCCGAGCCTTCGGGAAGCGGGGATTACAAACAGTGACGCGCGGGAACAAAGTGGAGCATCGCGCGCGGGTAATGACCAAGAGCGACTCCATTGGCTGAAATCGTGAATCTTGTCGATTTCGGCAGAGGCTTTCGGAAGTAGCAAGCGGAAAACGGAAAATGCTCCACACGCCATGATGGCCCCCGTTATCATGGGACAAGAGGATAAATAGCTTGAGGACCCCGCCATGATGAATGAGCTAGGTACAGTAGAATCATATACAAGATAAAGCACAGTATAACTAGCAGTCAACAAATAGCAGTTCATGTGGAATTGGCCTCTTATTGCAAAACGAACTTTCTCGACCTCCTTATTCAAGTCATTTTCCTTTTCATCTCAGAGACATTCACATTCGTCCACCATGTCAAAGGTTGCCCCTGTAATTGCGCTATCCCATGGCGGTGGTAAGTCAACACCATGTGATCTGCCTCAATCATCGATATAGCTGACACGATTAGGCCCGATGCCTGTTCTTGGCGACCCTAGGCATGAAAGCATTGTCTACTCCCTAAAGAACCGCGTCCCCAAGATCCTCAAGCTTGGCACCCCAGATCAACCCCGAGCCATCATCCTTGTCACCGCCCATTGGTCAACTGCAAAGCCCACCATCTCCTCAGGCGCATCTCATAAGTTACTCTACGACTACTATGGGTTCCCTCGTGAATCATACTCTCTCAAGTACCCAGCACCTGGACATCCAGAGATCGCAAACGAGATCGCCGATGCTCTGCGCGGAGAAGGTCTTACACCTGAATTGGATGACGAGCGAGGATGGGACCACGGAGTCTTTATTCCTCTCTTGCTCGTCAATCCCAAAGCCGACATCCCCGTAGTCCAGGTCTCGGTTCTTGAGTCAGAAGATCCTGAAGAACATCTCCGCATGGGCGCAGCACTGCGAAAACTGCGAGCCAATAATATTGCCGTCGTTGGCTCAGGATTTGCAAGCTTTCATAACATTCGCGCCATGATGATGCTGGGGAGCTCGGGACCTGAACAGCAAGCGCAATTCCGAACCTTGTCTGATGAATGGAACAACACATTGACTGAGGCGGCACTCAAGAAGGATACAGATGAGCGGTGGAAGGCTCTCAAGGGGTGGAGGAAATTTCCATATGCTGATATGATGCACCCGCCTAATGGAGGAGAGCACTTTATGCCATTGCTTGTGTGCGCGGGAGCAGCAAGGGAGGGAGAAGAGACGAGAAAGTACAACGATGAGTATGTTGGAGTTGAAATTAGTACCTTCTATTGGGGATCGGAGGAAGAGAGCAAACTTTAAATGTTTATTGAATTTAGCATTGTTGAATAGAGTATCATGGTTATTTGGTATGCTTGTTGTGAGCCAAGCTTGAGTGTGGGTGCCCCCTCATGTCAGAACCTCAATTGGTAACTCCATCTCACTCCCATTGGAACAGAGACCCCTACCAATCCCCTGATTTACAGGTACAAATACCTCTGACAGCAGGTTACATGCAATAGGAAAGATGTGCATCCCTACCGCAGATGCAGGCAGAACATCAACATCTAAAAGCCGCCTCAAACCCACTATTCGTGACCCGCAGCCGTCATCACTGGCTTGGCTCGCCCAGTTCGCCGTTGCCAGGAGTCTTAGCTGACGTCAAGACGGGAAAAAGATCAAGTCTATAGAATATTAGAGTCCAAGAAAAATCTTGTTGCAATTACATGTGGTAATATTCTGAAAATGTTCAAAACTGGAATTCGGTCGTTGCCCTGCCGTTTAAATACATTCAACGCCGCAAAGCATCTCCCACGCTTCACTGCCCCTCCCAAATCCTGCATACAACATCACATTCGCACACTTACACCATCACCGCCACAAGAGCTCTATACAACAGCGAGCAGCATGGGTCAGCATTACAAGCCCACAATCGACGCAAAAGTCGTCAAAGTCTTTGTTCTCGAGACTGATACTCCTCATCCTCACACTCAGACCGAGCGCGGTTCGTTTGGTGAGATTCTGCATCGCCACTTTTCAGAGGCTGGAAGTAAGCATCATCCTCCGCTGGGCGTTGAGACAGAGCAGATCTTTGTCGTGACAGAAGAGGGCGGCCGCATGCCCAAGGTGGAGGAGTTTGAGGGCTACGATGGACTGCTCATCACGGGCAGTATGTATGACGCGCATGGCGACAACCAGTGGATTCATGACTTGCTCGATCTTTTGAAGCGTGAGTAGCCCGTTATTTCTCTCTTGGAATGTAAACTCAATGTTCCTAGAACTATGGATAAAGCGCCCAGACTTTCACTTCACAGGCGTTTGCTTTGGCCACCAGGTTCTTTCCCGTCTTTTAGGAGGCAAAGTTGGCCCTTCACCTACAAACGACTGGGAACTTGGTCACAATGCAATCACCCTCACACCCGTAGGAAAACGCCTCTTCCGTACACACGATGACAAAGTATACCTCCATCAAATGCACCAAGACCAAGTCCTCGAAGCCCCCACCGTTGAGTCATCAAACGGCCTTCTCGAGCCCGACACCGACGTTCATGTCTGGGGTACGAGTAATCACACATCCATTCAGGGATTGTATATCCCCAACCGACTATTCACAACACAGGCGCATCTGGCGTTTGACGAGGACATGGTCAAGAGACAGATTCAGATGAGAATTGATAGTGGTGGGATCAAGGATCTAGAGCATGCGGATCGGGCGGCTGAGACGGCGGATCTGGACCATGATGGAGAGCAAGTTGCGTCAGCGATTCTGAGGTTGTTTAGGTACGATGATGATGGTATGTCGTGGGACTGAGTTGGTTTAAATAGACCGGAAGATCGATGGAAATAATTGTGGTAGAATGTTCTAAAAGCAGGTCTAATATCATGGTCCTTTTGCCCTCGGCGTGTGAAAGACAAACCCTCAACTCGTTGGTTCTCTTCAGCTATGAGATCCGATAATCAATGTCACTGAATGAACCTTTTCTAATATTATCATCTATGTTTAAATTTACCCTGAATTAAGGAGTTTTCCTACCACGTAGATTAAAACATAGGTTATTAGTTGCCATATTGGCAGAATAAAATAGTGAATTAACAGTTCAAAGGCAAGGAAGGTACAATATATCACATTACTTCCTATAAAGAGTAATAATTCATTGCGTAGAAAGAGCACATGGAGACCAGTATAGGCTTAGCATTTATATCCCAAAATCTTCGTGCATGTTGCTGATACACGTCACTTTGAGTACAAGTCTGTGCTTGAGTCTACAATCTTGAGTCTGAAAACAGAGATCCCGCATAGTTTTACTCCAAGCTGTTCTAGATATCGTGTATCCCTTTCTTGAGAGGTTCAATCTTTTCAATTTCCTCTAGTCTGCTGGCCCAAAGCTATGCACTATGGAGGTCATGGAAACCAAGGCATGATACAAACTTGTAGAATCAAGACCAAGCTCTCAACCAAATGTATACAGGCTTGCTTGTAACATCCCCCTTTGCGGGGATAGATTACTTGGTCTTTGTGCTTTGCAGGGACATTGTTTGTTTTACTATCAGTTTGGCGGTACAAATGTATAAATGCGCATAACATGTGTGAAATATCCGATGGACACATGAACATTATTCACTGGTCACTTACAAGATTGCGAGTTCATGGCAATCGACCAGTTTCCAAGGTTATGATGAGTATAATTATGCATCAATTGGTATTAAGTAAATCTGATTTATGATCGATATAAACTAACGCCTTTCCCAAACTCGCTAATTCAGACTACCAATCCCATTTTTAGCATCAATCATGAAGCCGCAAGCTTCTTCAGCTCCGGCAACGCCCACTGTTTCATCCATCGTGACTCCAGCAGGTCTTTAGCTGTTATCCTATCCTCGGGGCGGAAAGTAATTATCTTCTTCATCATATCAATAAAAGCCTCCTTCTCATCCTTGGACATGGGTTTCATGCCGCTCTCCTTTCGTCCCTGTTGCACACAACGCTCAAAGCGGTCATCCCATGTGAAACCGCCCCGCGTAGTGGCTTGTGTCGACGCCTCTTCTTCGACATCCTCAACCCAGTACTCTGATCGCTTAGCGCCGTAGGCAGACCACTCTTCTGGGATTTCACCAAGAAGATCAATTTGGTCCTGAAGAATGTCATCCTCTGAGAGGGTCCAGGCGTCGAATAGCGGGCGTTGTCCGACGACGTTCCAGAGGAGACAGCCAAGGCTCCAAATATCGGAGCTGAACGAGAGAGGTTGACACACATCGGGGAATTGAGTTTCGGGTGCCCGGTAGCGAATCGGAGCGTTGGAATATTGGCGCTTTTCTTGACTTGGTAAATAGGACTCGCCGAAATCGCCCAGTAAGATCTTTGCATCTGCCAGAGCTACATCCTCGCTCTTTTGGCCCAGCCAGATTGGCAGCACTGCGTTTCGAGGTGCATTTTCGTCAAGAGGAAGTCCGTCGAGTCTTGTGATAGGAACTGTCGTTGGATGATTATGTCGCTCGTGAAGTTGATCAGGCGATAATCGCTTGATTCGGTCCGGAAGCTGGAGTAAGATGTTGTCGAGGTGGAGGTCGCCGTGTACTACACCGCCCTCATGGAGGTACGCGATGGACTGCACAACCTGAGCGGCGATAGCTCGGGCAGTCCGTGGTTGAAAGAGTCTTGTGAAAGAAGCGTCCTTTGCCAGACGCAGCGACATCATGGCTGGATCGTTAACCAGACAGGTGTGTCTTCCATTGGGACCATCGAAGTGAAAGTTATCGGTGACATGTCTAATGAGAGACCTTCCAGGATGTTTCTTCCCAGCTTTGGCTTCCAGACGCTGAAGGACATCGACTTCTGTTGAGTCTTCACCGAAATCTGCTAGTACAATCTTCAATGCGGCATACTTCTGTTTCAAGATGTCCCATGAGAGCCATACAGTTGAGTACCCACCGTGGCCGAGCTTGTTGAGGACCAGGTAGCGGTTGTTGATGGTTTCACCTAGGGACACGGGGTGGAAGCCTCCAAGGCGGTACTGTTCGAGGTTTTCGACATGTTCGATATAGTTGTAGTTGTAGCCCATGTTGATCAGTCTAGTGTTGTGGTCTTCCATCATCATAGCTGGCTGTGTTGGCTGAGCGGTGACGGTAGCCAAACCACGGGTGGCAGCTTTTGAGATGAGGCCATTGAAACGAAAAGACCTCTTCCTCGCTCCAGACATGAGGGTGAGTGATGGTCGCCGCAGCGACTTGAGACTGCAAGTAGCCATTTTCACGAAGAGGTTATCGTCTGTCGGTGTAGGTATTTCTTGTGTCCATGGGCGTATTCAGAAATGGGGCCATTCCGTTATGTTTGTTATTAGGTAGGTGTAGTAGGTATAATAGGTGAGATGCAATTTATTCGATAGGTCAAGAGAACGAGAGACAGAAGATAGATATAGGAAGGGGAGGAATGCAAGAGTTTATGAGTAACACGCAGAAGCCGAAATCCGGGGTAGAATGTGCTAAACTGTTACTCATAGCTCGGAGCTATCATGGGTCACTCTCGGCTCAAGGGAAGTGGATACGGGGGCCGGGCAGAGCCTGAGGCATCGTTTCGGCCAAGTTCCGTGTTACGGTGTGAGACTCTGTTGATATTGATATGATTGATTCCCTGGAACAGTCGCATTGAATCGCCAGTTTCACGCGTTAGCGTTGGCGCTCTCCCGGGATTGTTTGTCGTCCACGGGAGTTGACGGGAGGAAAGACTCTGAAGCTTCTTCTGTATCTTGACCTTGTTTGGTGGGCCGCGGCTAGGAATCGGGCAAGTTTAGTCGAGGAAGCTAGAAAAACCGTCGAGTCGTATGACTCTCTAGACGAGTATCAGGAGTAATTGATAGCCGGCATGTTTAACCAGGGGGGTAATTGGGTGCTTGAGGTGAAGAATTGGGCATTTGCAGCAGCATCGTGATATGATGCCTTACCAGTCATAAGAGCCATTCTTTTCTGTGCCTGATGATAGATGCCGGTTCCGGACACCCGGAGTCTCCACACTCCAGCTACAGCACAGCTACAGCTCCATCTATAGCAACAGCTTCAAAATCCGGGGTAAGCTATTGCTAGATCCTTCAGTTGCTTGGCAACTCCGTCTACAAGTGCCCCCAATAAGTTCATCACTGAGAACATCTTGAGCAATACAATGAAGACCAAGCATCTCCTAGTTAACTATCACATTTGATGTTGTAAGACTCGACTTTGATCAACCATGCCATTACCCAATCAGCATCAGTCACACTTTCTTGACCGCCATCATATGATGCATAAGATCAGCTATAACAACCATGCAACAACTGGCTTATTCGTAGCAAGAGACCATTCAAGTATGCATCGGGGAGCAAGAAAACACAAGACCTTTATTTAGGGTGTCAAAATAAACTCAGTAAAATATATCCTAAACTTAGTAAAGATATTCTAAATTTGTATAAAGTTACCCAAGTCTTTTTGTCATTTAGGATCAAGATCTCCAGTTTTCTTTCCTCCCCTAGGTATGTTACCTTGAGGGCTTTATCAGGAGATCACCTTCTAAAAATGTTCGATATTATGGGTCGACTTACGAGTCCTCGATTCTCAAACCATCCTCAAACAGCTTTTTTGATGCGACCGATGCTGAACCGATGTTCTATCAATAGCTTGCAATCAACTCTGATGATTTGCTACCCGCCCATAATACTACAGTGTTTTAGGCATTGAATTGATCTCGGCATATCTCGGTTTCCGGTTGCCCTGCCTCTTGTATCACATAAGGTAGTGACTTACTTGGAAATATGGGCGCTGGTTATTGTTGACTGAGTGAGCCGCAACCTTGACGATCGCTACTCAAATTATAAGCCTTAAATTCCTTCTGGTTCCTCTCTTCGGTGTAAATTCATTTGTTCTGGTCGATAATAGGAAGTCTTTTAAAACTGCGTCTCTGTAGCTGTGCTCCATGTCATCCACTTGACACAGCATTATTCTTCCCTCAAGATCCGTCTTGCTCTGTAGTCCATTTCCCGTTTCTCATTTTGTTGAACTTTCGGCTTACTCAGAACTGTAGATTGAAGTTGTAATAGGAAGTACAGTGCCATCCGCTAGTTCTCGCGAGTCCATTGTTGTAAAGCCCCCGGGTTCACCAGAAGCCGGAACCAATATAGTTGTCTTATCATAGCGTTTCCGTGCCCTTCTTTAGACATACTTAAATCAATGATGGTATAATAATAGCTCACTGACATGAGGGGGCCTAAGAGCTATAGCTGTATGGGAGATAGACTACTCGACATTTCTTAGCTGGCATTTTGTGTCTTGTATGATTGAGACGACTTACTCAATGTCTCACTCGAGCAGCAATTATATCATCACCTGTACTCTTCCGCAAATTTCCCGATGGCTGTTTACTATCGGCTCGTGTAAGCCTTAGATATCTTTTGTGGACATGATTGATGAACTCTTTCTTTGCGTTATCTTCATCGTATCATGTATCCGGGTGTTTTACAGACATTTCTAAGGCTCACAAGACGACCCTCATCTGTTGCAGCTTACAACATCTCAGTTCATGATCTTCTCAAGATAACTTAGTCGGAAAGTTCGACGAGTTATCCTTCGGCTTGTCAAAGCTATCACCAATTTGACACAGGTATGGTTAACTATCCTAATCGCGGGCTATCTTATGACGGAAACAACCATCCAGAGACTGATACTATAGAAGCTTATGATCTGGCCACATATATTACCATTGCAGAGGGGAGACATTGGCTGTAGAGGGATGCTCGGTGATGCCTTGAGGGGTCTGTCAGGTATATCAATCTCCACCCCGAGATAGTT